ACGCATAATCCAGTCAGTCCACCACAATTACCAATGTCATGATAGGTGATATTACTGGGCAGTCTTGTTTTACTCATGTATGCACTTCGAAAGCCTCACTTAGTTCTATGTTGTGAATCAATTGACACGTGGCACTGTCATACATCCAGCTGTTGAATGTATGTTTGGCATGCGATTCGCCCCTGCAAAATGTAAGATGCTGCTACAGGACTGGACGACGTCAACCCCTAACTTAGTGATAGGGAGTGAAGTGATAGAACATGTTGACCACTTCACCTACTTGGGAAGTTGTATTAGCACCAACGGACTGATTGGCGATGAAATCTCAGCACGGATCCGAAAAGCTCGAGCTGCTTTCGCTGACTTACACCATCTCTGGCGTAGGCGTGACATCCGGTTATCAACCAAGGGACGTGTGTACTGCTCATCAGTTCGCTCCGTCCTTCTCTATGGCTCTGAAACATGGCCAATATGCGTTGGAGACATGAAAAGGTTGACTGCTTTCGATCATAGATGTCTGCGATCTCTGTCTCACGTTAGGTGGTTTCACAAGATAAGTAATGTTGACGTTAGGCGTAGAGTGTTGGGCAAAGAGGGAAAATCAATCGACGAGGTTATAAAGTTACATAGACTAAGATGGCTAGGTCACGTGCTGCGCATGCCTAACCACCGCCTCCCCCAACGGGCATTGTTAGCTGATATAGGTTCAGGTTGGAAAAGAGCCAGTGGTGGCCAAACAAAAACGTGGCATCAATCCATGAAATCCTTGACAGTTAAACTGAGTCAGGTAGGGAGATGCAGACTCCCGGGTTGGGGCCCTCGGGACTCTAGGAATCAATGGCTGGAGACTATAGGTGACATGGCTCAAAATCGTTGTCAATGGCGCAGATGTATTCAATCTCTGTAATCTTTCATATTCCTCTCTACCATTACCCATTCTGTTTCACTCTTATACTTGTCAAACTCTATTGATTCTCTTCACTCATCTTCTTGTCTACCTCTGTGTGCTATTTGGAACGTGGCAACTCGAACTGCTGCACTTCGGTGCCAAGTTCTATGTTGAATCCAGACAGACAGCTGTTGAATGAGATTCATTAGGACTTGGGGACGTGACCGATGTACTTATCTAATAATCATCGATAGAAATAGAAATTTTTTTTTAACGAAGTTAATAATATGGCCAGTATAATCGAGAGGCACTGGAATCAAACTGTCCAGTGACTAATGCACGGCAAGCAGCTATAAATTAACAAATGATTTCAGACAATCGTAAACTTATTAATATATGTGTAAAACTTGGGGACTGTGGTAGTAAGTAATTCCATATCAGCTTGTTTATTAGATGTAACCCACAGTGATAAAACAGTATTATTTACTGGATGATAAGGTTTCGAACAAAATTTATTACTGTTCATAATCATATCAATTGTAATCACACGACTTCGAAACTGGAGTTTTATAGTCTTCTTTGTCCTCTCCTATTTGTCGTCGTCGTCGTTGGGGTAGTAGAATTTTCCAGATATCTGGGTGGACAGGTATTGAATCATTCCTGTTGCATGTATTTGCAGTTGATTTGATAAGCCCAAAGCTTCTGTTAACAATCTCTTCCTCCACCCTGTTACATTAGATTTTAAAATTGTCATCTTATCCTATCCTATTGTATGGTTGTGTGTGATTGCATGTAATGCTATGGCTGAACTATTCTCTAGATTTCCTATCGTATTCGGGTCAACCAATCTAGATTTCACTGCTAGGTTTTTATGCTCGACTAGTCTGACTCACTGACCCTGTTCTACTGCTTTGACCTATGTATTTGACCTGACAATCATTCCAGGAGGGTACTAGATAAACTAAATTGTTTTGTTTTAAATGCTCCACAGGATTTATCCTTTAACCGACAAAGCTTGTTCCGAATTGAGTTCGTAGGTTTGAATACCAGCCACTTTTATTCCCTCCTTGTTAAGTATTCTGCATAAGACTTCCGAGGTTCCTTCCTTGTATGAAATTACTACTAATGATTTAGATTCCTTATTGTTGGTGTCGTCACTAATATTATTATTATCATTATCACTATGATCAATATCGCTACTATCATTATTTATTTTATTTTTACATTTCCTGACTAATTTATCCGGTTAATTATTAAGTTTTCAAGGCTTCTTTTATGTGTATCACTTCCTGTCTTAGATTTTCCTTGGTACTACTTAAACTTATTAAAATTTACTTGCATTCGTGGTAGCAAGTACATTTAAAGGACTAAGGAGAGAGTGTCTACTAGATTAGCTGGGTGTTCTCAAGTACGACGGCCAGACACCCTCAGTGACACGTGATACATACTGTGGAAATTAGTCAGGCTTTCAAAATAATTAATACACAAAGGAAACTACGGTAAATTTTGGTTCGCAGAAACCGCTGCTATCAAAAGATTTAGACCCAATCTCTGTATACAGAGATTGTCCACTTGTCCATTCATACGATAAATAGTTAGTCTTTTAACACGGAATAATTTGTCTACTTTCTATGCGTAACTCGACGTCACACTGTGGAAAGTATGATCACACATTTTGTAACTTGTAATTTAATTTTGTTTAGGATGTATGCAATTGAAAAGAATCTACGAAATAAAACGAACAGGTGTTATACAGTATAAATAAGTTGTTTCTTTGTTCAATATAATAAAAACGACTAGTTGTGATTTCGTGAAGCTTCCATAACACCTTATGAACAGCGTTGCTCACTCATCACCACGAATAAAATTGGCAGTAAAATCCCAGATCATAATAGATTCTCATTCCGTTTCGTCTCATAACCTACGGCAGTCAAAGACGACCCAACTACTAGCCAAAGGGCGAGTGTACATGCGGAGGAAGGGAATCAGTTCTTGGCTTTGTGCTGCCCTCCAACATTAGTCATCCAAAAAACTAGATTACTGATTACAGGCGATCTAAACCATCATACTCCAGTGTTCAGTAGTTTAATATAATGAGTAATTTTGAGGTTAGGCGTCGAGTGTTAGGTAGGGAAGGAAAGTCAACCGACGAAACTGTGGAGATACATCGACTGAAATGGTTGGCACACATGTTGCGTATGCCGAGCCAACCATCGCCTTCCTCGATGAGCAATGTTAGCTGGCATACGACAACGTTGGATAACAGTTACGAGTGGTAAAACCAAAATCTGACATCGGCAAATGCAGACTTCAGATATCGATTTAGACCAGCCATGTAGGGGAAATGTAGGCTACATTACTGAGGTCCCCAGAAGGTTAAGAACCAATGGTGACTGTAGACTATTGGTGATATGGCCTACAATCATTGTTACTAAACTTTACTTCTCTTTCTTCCATACTTTTCTGATTACTATGGTACTCTTGGATCTCTTTTTCTCTCTCACCTGCCTACCTTTATGTGCTAAATGGGGTATGTGGCAATAAACACGAGAGAACCAGGAAGACAGAGGGTATATTGATCATATATTCACCCTTCGACAGATTCTGGATCAAAGGCATTCTTACCCGCGTCCAACAATCGTTATATTTCTGGGCCTAAAGGCAACATTCGATTCTGTCGACCGAGAGGTTCTCTGGCGATGCTTGGCTGTAAAGGGAATGCCGAGAAAATACATTGCACTGATCAAGGCACTCTACTCGAACTCACGCAGCCAGGTGAGGGCTTACGGCGAGTTGCCATCTCAACTGGTGACGACTAGTGGTGTCCGTCAAGGATACCCATTATCCCCATTTCTATTCAACTTCATCATAGATGTACTAATGGACTTAACCCTAAGTGACTCCAGCGACTCAGGGATTGACTTGCTACCAAGGAATAATCTCTTTGACTTGGAATATGCAGACGATATAGTCCTTATAGGCGAGGACGCTGATAAAATGCAGAGTTTTCTAAACACCTTGAGCTGCAATCTACAATTGTTTGGCATGCGATTCGCTCCCGTCAAATGCAAGATGATGTTACAGGATTGGACCACACTGACTCCTAGTTTAAAAATAGGAAATGAAGCGGTAGAGCATGTTAACCGCTTCACTTATTTGGGAAGTACCATCAGCCAACGCCAATGGGTTGATATCTGACGAAATCTCAGCACGGATACAGAGGACTAGTTTTGCATATGCCAGTTTACGCCGTCTCTGGCATACACGTGATATCGGGCCGGCTATCGGCCAAAGGGCGGGTGTACTACTCTGTAGTCCGCTCCGTCCTCCTTTATGACTGTGAGACCTGGCCACTGAGAGTGGAAGATATGAAAAGCCTGGCTAGCTGTTTTAGATTATAGGTGCGTGCGCTCTATCTCCCGTGTGAAGTGGTATAATAAGGTGAGCAATATGTGAAGTTAGGCATCGGTCGAGTGGTCAGGTAAGGAGGCAGTGGAAATCAATAGACGAGGCTATGGAGTTACATCGACTGGGATGGTTAAGACATGTGTTATGCATGTCTAGTCATCGCCTGCCTCGACCGACGGGCAATGTTAGCTGACATATGGTCAAGTTGGCAAAAAGGGCTAGTGGCGGTCACAACAAGACATGGCACCAGTCAATGAAATCCACAACAGTTAGTTTAAGCCACATAGGAAGATGTAGACTTCTTCGTTTGGGTCATCGGGACGGTAAACACCAATGACTGGAGATAATCGGTGATATGGCTCAAAATTGTTTTCAATGCATAAAACTATATGGTTCTTCGTTATTACTATTCCTTTTGTCTCATATCCCTGTTTACTGTCTCTATTATTCATTTCTTCTACTCTTTCTTTGAGTGTTACATGGAGTGTTTGCGACTTGAACTGCCGCACATATGTGCAAAGTTCTATGTTGAAAACAGACAGATGTGGCAACTTCAACTGACACAATTCTGTTCGAAATTCGATCAGTTAGCCAACTAGTCTACTATTAACGCTCAGAAACAACCTGACCTCCAAACAACACATCACAATTCATCAAGACGATCGAGAGGGAGAGAGAGAGAGAGAGAGAAAACACCAAAATTCACAATCTTCCTTTTTTTTATTCTCAATAGCTCCAAATATAAAATCATGATGGAATGACATCACATCCTAGAAGTCAATTATGTGAGCAATAGACTTTAATCATAACTTCATAGAAAAATACGTAATTTAACGATATTTTTGTCCTCTTCACATTTTAATAATTATCATTATGAAGACAGCATAAAATAAAATAGGATATTAATAATAAAGATAAATACAGTTGGAATCGTAAAGGCACATTGTGATCAAAATAAATTGTCAATAAATATAAGGAGAGAACCCCCATCATCACCATCGTCATCGACAATACAGAAGGCAATAAAAAATTTTTGCTTTTCTCCATCAACTACTATCTACAGACAAATCAATAGTAGTAATAAATCAAAAATAAAGAAACAAGTACATGATTTTAATCAATGAGAAAAATAATACTAATAATATAATAATAGCCAATCAGTAATTAGGATGGTGTAAACGCTTCAACTATCTGTATGATTGTCGCTACTGTCCCACCAATCAAACTGAGTAGACCAATTAGAATGAATACAACATGCTTAGTAAATATATTTAACCAAAACCAAGGAATTTGATCACGTTCAGACCATAGAAAAATAATCTCCATTGAGGCAGGTAAGATAAAAGCAAGAACAGAACCAGCGAATGCTCCCATCAACGAGATGAGCAGATCAATTCGAGGGATAAGAACAGCAGCTGCATCTGTAAAATTAAACAGAAAGAATAATAAGTGAAATACAATTAATAATATTAAACTGGCGTATCAAATAAAAAAGATCGATATTGAAGAAATTAGGTGGACAATCATTAGCAATGCGTTCATCAGTCATATACGAGGACGCATCATCAGGATGTACGTGCATTTTCCAGCGAGCGATGTTGTCCCCAGAGTTTCAAACGCCAAAGCATTATCCACTAGAGCACTGAAGCCACTAGAGCCGCCTCTTTCGCAGTGACAGTCTCTGGGAATGCAGGTACATCCAAATGACGAGTCCTAAATAGGACAAAGTGAACATACCCTGGACATGTCCACTGCTAGTCACTATCCACCAGACTGTTTTCAAGAGGATATTGTAGTCAAACATATGGCAATCTTGAAAGCAAAAACTATCGAAATAAACTGTGAACAGCCTCATTCCATTCTATGTTAATATAAGAACCAACATGAGCTACTTTAGTCGCGCAACAGATTATTCGATTTTTGCTTTATATGTGCATAAATGAAACCCAGAAGCACATTAATACATTTTCTTTAACAAAAAATGCTCAAGCATAGGTAAATTATCATGAAAATATCTCAGAAACCACAAACGTATGCAGAAAATGGATGTTAGTAGAAGAAATCGTACACATCAACCTTATTCAACAGCTGTACGACAACGGAACATGTCAAGCGATCCACAACATAAAGCTCAGAGAGGCGTTTGGAGTAAGCACAGGAGTCAGACAAGGGTGCCAATTATTATCACCAATGATATTCCTAATTGTCGTCGACTGGATTATGCGTCAGACTGTGAGTGAGAAACTAGCAACAGGGATATCCTGGACAGACAGACGTGAAGAACCTAGAAGACCTGGATTTCGCGCGTGGATGATTTATGTTTGATATCATACAAAATCGAAGACTTACGAGCGAAAACCGACAAACTGGTCGAAGAAGCAGCAAAGACAGGACTCCAGGTGAACATAGACAAGACAGAGGTGATGAAAATAACCAACCAAACAACAACACCAACAGCCAGCGTCAATCACCATCAACGGGAGGGATTTGAAAGACGCCACTTTATTCTCTCACTTATCTAGGGAGCATTGTCTCAACTGCAGGTAGTCGGAACAGACGAGGATGTCAAATCGAGCCAGAATCGGGAAGGCAAGAAACACATACACCAATAAACCTGAAACCAATCTGGAAATCTTCGTCACTCAACCAGCATCAACAACAAAATCCAGTCGGATTTTCAAAACAAACAACGTCAAGTCAGCCAGTCTGTCTGTCTGTTTTCGACAAAGAACTTTGCACCGATGTGCAGCAGTTCAAGTCGCCACACTCCGTGTAGCACGCGAAGCAAGAGAAGAAAGTACAAGAAAAGCATAATAGAAACAGTGAGCAGAGGTGTGAGACAAAGGAGTAATAAAGAAAAACAAAACAGTTTCATTGGAAATCATAAGTCACAAGGAGTGGATGCATCTGCGCCACTGAGAACGATTTTGAGCCATGTCACCAATTGTTTCCAACCATAGATTTTTACCGTCCCGAGGACCCCAGCCTGGAAGTCTACACCTTCCTACGTGGCTTAGACCAACTGTTGTGGATTTCATTGACTGATGCCAAGTTTTTGTTTGACCGCCGCTAGCTTTTTTCCAGCCTGACCCTATATCCGCTAACATTGCTCGTCGAGGGAGGCGATGGCTTGGCATACGTAACACATGTCCTAACCATCTCAGTCTTTGTAGCTTCACGACTTCGTCGATTGATTTCCCCTGTTTACCTAGAACTCTACGCCTAACCTCCATGTTGCTCACCTTATTATGCCACTTTACACGGGAAATAGAACGCAGGCACCTATGATCAAAGACAGCTAGTCTTTTCATGTCTTCCACTCTCAGTGGCCAGGTCTCACAACCATAAAGGAGGACGGAGCGGACTGATGAGCAGTACACCCGCCCTTTGGTCGATAGTCGAACATCTCGTCTACGCCAGAGTCGGCGTAAACTAACAAATGCGAAACGAGCCCCTTGTATTCGTGCTGAGATTTCGTCAGAGATCAGCCCGTTGGGGCTGATGGTACTTCCCAAATAAGTGAAGCGGTCAACGTGCTCTACCACTTCACTTCCTATTTTTAAACTAGGCGTCGATGTAGTCCAGTCCTGTAACATCATCTTGCATTTGGCGGGAGCGAATCGCATGCCAAACATTCGTAGATTGCGGCTCAAGGTGTTTAGAAGACTCTGCATTTCGTCAGCGTCTTCGCCTAGAAGGACTATATCGTCTGCATATTCCAAGTCAACGAGATTATTCCCGGTAGCAAGTCAATCCCTGAGTCGCTGAAGTCACCTAGGGTTAAGTCCATTAACACATCTATGATGAAGTTGAATAGAAAAGGAGATAATGGGCATCCTTGACGGACACCACTGGTCGTCATCAGTTCAGATGACAGCTCGCCGTAAGCCCTCACCTGGCTGTATGAGTACGAGTAGAGTGCCTTAATCAGTGCAATATATTTTCTCGGAATTCCCTTTACAGCCAAGCATCTCCAGAGAACTTCCCGATCGACAGAGTCGAATGCTGCCTTTAGGTCAAGAAATATAATGACTGTTGGACGCCGGTAGGAATGCCTATGTTCTAGAATCTGTCGGAGGGTGAAGATATGATCAATACACCCTCTTCCTGGTCTAAAGCCTGCCTGGCTCTCTCGTGTTTGTGCTTCCCGAGCACCACTCAGTCTACGCATGATTATTGAGCCTAAGACTTTAGATACTATATTAGTCAAGCTAATCCCTCTGTGATTATCACAGGAAGACTTGTCTCCCTTCTTGTATATGGGGATAATCAGTGACTTACACCAACCCGATGGGACTTCTTCTGATTCCCAGACGCTGCCTAGTACCTCAGTTAATCCGGACAGTAAGCTGTCTCCACCGTACTTAAATACCTCTGGAGTCATTCCATCAGGTCCCGCTGCTTTGCCTAGTTTCAGATTGGTGACAGCTTTAGTAACCTCAGTTAGTGACGGAGGACCTGTGTCTATATCCCATTCAGGGAGGTGTTGGATGCTCGGAAGGTTGAGCGTGGCTGTGGGCAAATTAAACTGCTCCTCATAATGCTCTTTCCAACGATCCAGTCGTCTATCCTGGGAGCTAATTATAGTGCCATTTTTTTCCGAGATTGTCTCACTGATGATTTGTCTTCTCCCACCCGTTTCCCTGATGAGTCCAAAGAGTTGCCTGGTGTTGCCTATCCTCGAAGCTTTCTCCATCTCTTTGGCTTTTGTCGCCCACCACTGTTCACGGTCCTTGCGGAGACTTTTCGTAAGTTTCCTCTTGTGCAGCTTTCGCTCCTCATTGAATTCGGAGCTCGCCGGAATAAGTCTTCTAGCATCTATCAGTTCGGATGAGGCGGTGGAGATCCAGTGGTTTTTACTCACCTTTGGGTTTACCTTATTCACAGCTTTTACAGCTGTATCTATGGCTGCCTGGATATTTTTCCAAGCTTCTTCAGGGTGAGCACAGCTGTCGAACACAGATATGTGTTTAGCTAGTTCTTCCTGAAATACGGATTTAGTTTCCTGATCGAGCTGGGGACGTGATGGTTTTACCGCCAGCTGTTTCCTACGTCCGTTCAGTCGTAAGCACACCCGAGCGCGGACCAGTGCATGGTCGGTATCTACGCACGTGTTCCAGAAGGAGCGACAATCTCCTACCGACCCACGCCAACGATAGCTTATTGCTATGTGGTCTATTTGTGTCCAGCGTTGGTTTGATGAAGGGGGTCTCCAAGTCAAACAGTGTCTCTCCTTGTGTTTGAAGTTAGTGCTTACAAGAAACAAATGATTATCAGAGCAGAACTGTAGGAGACGGTCACCGTTGTCGGTTCGCTGGCACGGAACTCCATAGGTGCCACCGACATCCTTCTCAGATTGACACAATTTCCCTACTTGAGCGTTAAAGTCACCAGCTAGAACGACTATGTCTGAGCGTTTAGCCTTTCCACCAAACTAGACAGCTTTTGGTAGAACTCATCCTTCGTTTCATCTGAACTGCAGTCAGTGGGGGCGTAGGCGGAGATTACGAAAAGGCATCGGCGAGTAGTGCAGTCCTTCCTCCTTCTTACTGATCCGTTCAGGCGGACAGCACACATTCGGCTATCTACCGGGATCCAGTCAAGCAATGTCTTTTCTGCCCTAGTACTCAAAGCTATCCCTACGCCAGCTAATCCTCGTGAACTAGCTGTGGCATCTCCTGACACCCTCAGGTGAATTTTGCAGATTCAACCTGTTGGCCAGGTGGGGTTAGGTGAATAACCACACTTGGGTCTTGTATGCGTGTTTCTGAAACACAGCATACATCAATGGCTCGTGATGCCAGGGTCTTGGCTAGTGATGCTTGTTGTCCTATTTGGCAAAGTGTCCTAACATTAAGAGCTCCTATATGAAATTGGTGGCGCGGCTTTAAGAGGCTGTCGGTGGTGGTTTTTTGGCTTCCATCGTTTTTAGTGGACGCAGAGTGGAGAGGAAGTGGAGAGCTATCAAGTCGAGGAGTTGCATCAGTGGAAGGAAGGCAAGATGATAGAGATGAAGATGAAGACAAAGATGAGTGAGTAATAGAGAGGTTTCGTGTGCATTTCGGATTGTGAGGGCGATTGTTACTTCCCGGCTGCCCACACCGTGGAAGTTGGTTGCGTGACCGCAGAGCCCAGGGGACAACTGCTTGAGGCCGGTCACACGCGGCCTGTTTTTGTTTGTTCTCTTTTGTTTGGTGTGTCTCAGTAGCATATTTATCACTCCTGCCCTGTGACACGGCAGCAGGAAGCGCGGTCGTTGTTAATCCGGGCCACGGCCGATCCGGCATGAAATTTTGTGATTTTGTATTGGACATGATGTTGGATTGGGTAGCTGCTTTTTGTTTAACCGCTATCCAAACAACCTGCCTGGCATGGTAGGACCTCAAGAGACATAAGTCTCAGCCAGTATAGCTTGAATAGA